AAGATTGTCTAAGTCACATAAATGAACCTTATAAGGTACTCGGTGGCCCCTTCCGAATGTGCCAGAGGCCCCCAGGGGACCCTATATAAGGTACTCAGTGGCCCCTTCCAAATGTGCCAGAGGCCCCCAGGGGACCCTATGGCCCCCATGGAGAATGGCTGGTCCAGGAGAAAAGAAATCCGTTCCAGGGAAGCACCCCCTTCAGAAGATGGGACATGTGACTCTCCAGATATTGTTGGGCTGTGATTCCCACTGGATCCTTTTGATACTGGGCTGGCTAGGGCTAATGGAAATTGTCTCTAAAAAAACATTTGGAAGGACACAGATTGCCATCTACTCTACTTTCACCACACCATGCTACACATTCTTTTTTCCAGATGCAGAAAATTGTACTATTTTTCCACCCTGCACTGAACACTTTTTTTGTGGTATGAGCATGTGAGAGCATTTCACAGTGGACAGTCCCATTGCTGCAGTCTCAAGCTGCCTAGGGAACTACCCTCAACTATTGTAAGCTTTCAGGACCATTTACTACACACATATGGTATACAAAAATGCCCCGGTCCCTTGATTATCCTGGTGGCCATTTTCCCAGCCCCACAATAGTCTAAACTGGCTTTTGACTTTTGGGAGAGTGCAGACCTAACGTCCGTTTTCCTGGGTCATATCCCATGTGAGATATGGATGCATTTGTATCACACTTACCAACAGACACTGGCATTTCTCCCCACTGCAAAATATTTTCCTTTGAGAAGTGTCCATAAATGTCAAGATACACTCCTTCATCTTCATAGGTGAGTAGAAGTTCCATTCCACTGGTATTTGGGAGTATGATGATGGCGTGTGGGTGAATATTTCCCTGGATCTGAAATAATATTTTATTAAGATTTATATCACAAGACAGGCTATAATTTTAGTAACTACAGTCCATCAATCTAGGTGTCTTGGCAGAAGATTAAAACTTACAGACTCGGAACTCTTTTGAAGGAAAGGGATATATCTGTTTGAAAATAGTATATACATTTTTTTTTTGCTGGTTCAGAGACCATACATATGAAAAGAAATACCCTTTTTCCTATCAAGACTCAGCAACTGGAAAGATTTCTTTATTTAAAAAAAAACTTTCTTTAAATATCAAAGAGTGTACCAGTGTTTCATTTCATGTTCTGGCAGAATCATGCGGTGAAAATAAACCAAAAAGCAATTGGATATAACAAAACTAGCAGCAGTGTTTTATATATGCAACCAAAGATAAGAATTATATTCGTTCACGCTTTTGAAAAAACACTGGAAATATGGCATGTATTAAAAACAACGGATCCAGATTAGCAACTATGCAAACAGTCCATTGATACTGGAAAGCTCACATGGTTACAAAGCCATTTCTTTATCATTTCACTACTTTAGTAGTCTGGATGTAATATATTTTCATTTACTGAACGTACAAAGTGTGCCAGTGTTTATTTTATTGGTTAGCTTGACTCCTAATCTTTTGCGATTGCTTTCCGTGAGAGAAGAGACGGCCCACTCTCTTTCTATCACAGAATTATACAGCTAGAAGGGACCCCAGGAGCCATCCAAACCAATCTCCTGACAAAGCAATAAAGGTAAAGGTTCCCCTTGACATTTTTAGTCCAGTCGTGTCCGACTCTAGGGGTTGGTGCTCATCCTGTTTTCAAGCCGTAGAGCCAGCGCTTGTCCGTAGACAGTTTCCATTGCCACGTGGCCAGCGTGACTAGGGAACACCGTTTTACCTTCCCACTGGGGTGGTACCTATTTATCTACTTGCATTTGCATGCTTTCGAACTGCTAGGTTGGCGAGGAGCTGGGACAAAACGACGGGAGCTCACTCCATCGTGTGGATTCGATCTTACGACTGCAGGTCTTCTGACCTTGCAGCACAGAGGCTTCAGCGGTTTAGCCCACAGCGCCACCACGTCCCTGACAAAGCAATAAACCCACAGCTAAAGCTTGATGTCCTTCCACTGCACTCATAACTTTTGCCTCTACAGATATGTGGTGGCAACTCGAAAGAATGTACAATCCAGACTGAATTTGGCCAAGTGGAGAGTCCAAGTAAACATGAGAAGGGAGATTGTAATTAGATTTCCTGAGAACTTTTTTGCTTTGCTAAAAACCATCACAGGAAGGGCAGCAGCTGAACTGGGATCGTGATAAGGGGGGAGGGAGTTATAGTCCCTCACCACATGCCATTCTCTGAAGGAAATCCCCCAAAGTTGCTTTTTAATTTGGACAGGGGCTAGAAAATAGGATACAGTGGGGTCTTGACTCGAGAACTTAATCCGTATTGGAAGGCGGTTCTCAAGTCAAAAAGTCTGTAGGTCAAGTCTCCATTGACCTACAGTGCATTGAAAACCGATTAATCCCGTAACAGGCCGTTTTTGTTCCATTTTGGTTTTTTTCTGGTCTGTAAGTCAATTCTCAGGCTGCAAGTCAAACCTAAATTTTGCGGCCAGAGAAGTCTGTAACTCAAAAAGTCTGTAAGTCAAGCCGTCTGTAAGTCAAGGGTCCACTGTACCTGTAGTGCAGTTGTTTATAAAACCTAATACTGTACACAGTTGTATCCCATCAAATGAAATGTATAGCCAAGGGTGAGGGAAGAGGGAAAGTGTAATAATAATAATAATAATAATAATAATAATAATAATAATAATAATAATAATAATAATAATAATAATAATAATAATAATAATAATTGCCATTGTAAGTATATACACTTACAACGAAATTAAGTGAAAGAAGTACTACATAATAGGGAATGCTTAAACTTCTTTGACCAGCACAATGGCCCTGATCCAAACCTTCCCCCTAAGCTGATTTTATTCAAAGAAAAAGTCAGGTTTGCAGTGGCCGTGCGGGATTTCTCCCGTCATTTCCCACCTTTCTGTAAACAGACACACAGCTTGAAGGTCATTCAGAAGTTTACAGATGCAACGCACATCGAAAACCCACATGTCCACACAGGGGAAAAACAAGCACTGTTTAAGAATACCTTCAAGGCACATCCTACTCACATCTAGAAAAAAAAAACCTTACCGTTCACACTGTAAAATATTCAAACAGCTTAGAGCAGTTTGTAATATCTAACTCTCAAACCTCAGAATGTGTGTGTGTGTATGTGTGAGAGAGAGAAGCAGGACCATTTACATTATGCATACACAATGAAGAGGGGTGACTTTCTTTTAAAAAGATAATAATCATGATATACACCAGTTCTGAACTATTCTTAAACTTACGACTGTAGCAAAAAAGAGGATTATCCTTACGACCTAATTCAACTATGAGAGATCTCCACAATTACTATTTTCACGGGAAGAGAAACATCCCCTTGCATTTTTTGCCAAGCGTAAGGAAAGATACCCACCTCCCCACACTCTCAAAAAAGGATGACTATTTTAGAGCCACAGAAGTGTTATGAACAAAGCACCAAAGCCAGACTTAATTGCCCCAGGCCAACCTTATAGTCCGCCGTCTCTGCAGCCACTATCCGTAAGACCAGAACAGGAACCCAGAGCCGGAGAGCAATTTTAATGCGCTGTCTTGGTATCATTTGCATGAGGAATCAAAATAAGGAATGGAGAAAGAGAAGGGGCTAAGCTGCCTGCCTTCAGCCTGTTGGTTTTAAAAGCAACCTGGATTCTGGCTGGTTTGAAAAAGCTTCCTGAAGAACATTCTATCCAGACTTTCAAATTTGCACCCTTCCTTCCAATCAAAAAAGAGAGAGAGAGAAGCCTAATAGCTGCAGCTTAATGGAACAATGACACACTTATTTTGGTTCCTGCACTCCTGGGGAGAAAGTATATTTTTAGCTATCTTTCTCACGGTGGACAAGTGAGGAGAAACGGAGTCGCAACTTTCCTAAGGGAGCCCCAACTTGAGGACACTCATCTGGGAAATATCGCTCCTTCACGTATATAATTAAATTGGGACTTTGCTGCTGAACAGCAATCCTTCTTGTGAGACCGTGACCCTTTCCCCTTGTAGTTTTACTGCTTCTTGCTCAGTGAGGTAGCGCCATCATCTTCCCTTTCTCTAGCTTTCATGACATTAGTTCGGAGTGCTTGCTCTTGTGCAGCAAAGATCAGAGCTTTCATGACATTAGTCCGGAGTGCTTGCTCTTGTGTAGCAAAGATCAAGCCTTCGGTTTCTTTCTTGAGGGTCCCCAGTTTTAGTCATGCCCAATGATCATGTTTTCCACCAATATTTCTTGGATATTATATTATTTTTCCACCTATTCAACTTTAGATTGTTTCTTATATTCAGCCTTCCTTCCTGTTATTTTAAAAAAAAAATTTCCCCATTTTCACAGCTTTAAGTAATTTTTCTCTATTTCTATCAATATATTTCTATCAATATTTAAGAATTTTTTTTCTTTTTCCCTGTACTACCTATTGTATTTGTATTAATCCATGACCTCCAGTTTTCTGCATTAAATATAATCTGTCCACATCACTTTCTGGACGTAGGGTGTAATGCATATTCATTAATTTCCATGGTTTTTTTTAAATTTGATTTTTCAACTTTATTATTCCAGCAGGGTTCCTAATGACTGCCATTTTTTCTTTCTCCCTGTACTACCTAGTGTATTTGTAGTAATCCATGACATCCAGTTTTCTGCATTAAATATAATCTGTACACATCACTTTTTGGATGTAGTGTGTAATGCATATTCATTAATTTCCATGTGTTTTTTTTTAATTTGATTTTTCAACTTTGGGTCCAGTTTATTATTCCAGCAGGGTTCCTAATGACTAGAACTGCCCAATGTATTTATGTCTTTTATTGTATTTCCACCATTTAATTTTATTTTCAAAATCTTTTGATGTATTCCCTTTGTGTCAAATCTTTAACTTTTATATGCAGGCGATTATCTGCTCGCACTTCCGGAACTGCCCAATGTATTTATGGCTTTTATTACATTTCCACCATTTAATTCTGTTTTCAAAATCTTTTGATGTGTTCCCTTTGTGTCAAATCTTTAACTTTTATATGCAGGCGATTTTCTGCTTGCGTTTCCCAAGGTATTTATAATTGTCTTCCCTAAGTTACTAATTTTATGATATCACAATTTTTAAGCTTTATTCTGTCTAGGTTTTGGATCTTGCCATCATCAACATTTATATGTAAATTATCCTCATCATCAAACTGAAGAGATGGAAGGGTCCCTCGGGATCATCCAGTCCAGCCCCTCTCAAAGGAGGCACAGTGGGGGAATCTGGCTCTATAGACAGGTAACTAAATCACTGAGCTATCCAGCAGTTATGCCTGAGCTTTCCACTAAATGATAGCACTCAAGGCAACATACAAGTTACAGAGAAAGTGGCAAAGAAATGAAAATAGATAAAACCAGCATTCAATGAAAACCTTAATCATATAAACCTTGCCTCAATGAAAAATGATAAAAATCAGCAGCATGCTTTAAAGAAACATTAAAAACATTAATGTTACAAAGGACACAGACTGAAAACAGCACTGCAGGGCAGGTTAAATATCACATGTCTATCTAAAAAGATGTGTTTTTTACTCCCTTCTTAAAAGCAGGGAGCAACAGATTGCAACTCTGTAAGATGCCCACAGCTTTTCCTCTCCAGAAAGGGAGTATAGTGTAGCGGTCAGAGTGCTGGAGTGAGCTCTGGAAGGCCCGGGGCTGAAATCCCCACCCTGCACGGTCTGGCTTCTACTGTCTAAATTGCACAGGCTGAACCACTCAATTGTTAAGAAGAAATGCATTCTTCCAGGGTAGAATCTTACATGTGTTGGACGGTAGAGGTCATATACTGAGCCAGAGTCCACATCAATAGCATGAAACCCGACTGGTGAACCATAGATGACTTTTAACCTCTGTCCATTCTCCACCGTCAAGTCCACCAACAGTGGTTTTTGAGAAAGCGAGGTGAATGACTGCAAAGAGAAAAAATTGGATATTTCACATATTGCCAGGAATTAATTTGTAAGTGAAGAAATGGATGCTCAGTAGACCTGTTACAAATAATAGCTATAATCACCAATTGAGTGCAGAACGCTTATATCTCAAATCATGGGATCAGAACTAATGCGCCCGTCTTCCCTGTGAGCTCTAGCACGCTCACTGAACTCCCAGGGGTAATTGGTTCACATTACTCTCTCTGACCCCTTGTTAGGAATAGGAAAAAGAGGTGTGAGAGAGAAAATTGCACTACAAACGTATAGCAGATTTATGCCACTTTCTGAACCTGACTTTCCACAAAGAATTCTGACAGATTTTGGACAAATCTTGTTGGACTATCCCCCAAATCCCCCAGAAATGTAAACTAATTAGTTGCCTAGAAGTACTTCTAGTCAATACTTTTCCAGTAATTGATCACTTGTGTTTGATAATTACAAAGGGAATGGGAAAATGAACAGAATCACAGTGATCGGGTAAAGCTATGAAAACAATTCAAGTATGAATCTGCTTGATGACTTACCTTAAAAGCCATAAATTTGTGGTAGGGTTTAGGAGCCCAGGCATAAACCTCAACAGAATTCTTCACAGCGATCACAAGAAATTTGATCCTCTCATATTTCACTGAAAAGTAATATTTGTTGGGGGGGGTTAATCACTAGTCATGGAAATTGCAAAACAACTCTATATCACTTTTCACACAATGTACGTGCAGAGCTGAAAGTGATGGATCTAATTTACAATACTCAACATGGTTTGAGGTCATATGCACATTTTATCATGATTCTCTATCTTGGGCAGAGCATAGGATTTTTAAATTATAGCTCGCAAAAACCCCAGCCAGCATGGTTGATGGCTGATGTGTGTGTGTGTGGGGGGGGAGAGGTAGTTTTCTTTTTTTTTTTTCAAAACAACTTTTTCAAGTTCTGATCCTGGGATTCCAGTATCTGGATCCTTACCAGATTTTTATTCATCACTTATTTTAGCAGTAAATCCTTGGCTGAAACTGTGGGAGTTATTTCAGCCTCATATGCTGTCTTATTAGATTTGGCTGCAAGGCTCCTTTCTGGGCTGGGTTGACAATCAGTCAATCTGCCAGTAACCAATCGTTCTGTAAGTCTCTGCATATGAATTTGCCTTAAATTATGTGGAATTCTTTGAATACATATTATTTCAATTGTAGTATCTCGGTGGTAAACCCCTCTTAATCTGTCTTCTTTATGGTCCAGCTCTCACTTCCATACATCTCTACTGGAAAAACCACAGCTCTGACTATGCGGACCTTTGTTGGCAAGGTGATGTCTGTGTTTTTTAAGATGCTGTCTAGGTTTGTCATCGCTTTACAGGTTGCGAAATGGGCAGTTGGAAAGTGGACAAAGAATCTCTGTACATCGCTAATGTACCTCCACACTCAAAAGTCACTTAGATCTGTGTGCCTTGAAACTAATGCACCTACAGTCTCCTCTGTGACCTTGCAGCATCGTGCTTAAGTGAGTTCCAGGTGCACGTGGATATTGGGAGGGGACTTGTTTTGCATGCCTGCCCCTGTCCATCTCTCTGTCAGTAAAGGTAAGGTAAACACCCAAATAAGGCTGAAATCCTGATTAGGGAAGGCACACCTTCAAGTCTTCAAAACTCATGAGGTTTGAACCCAGAAAAAGCTTAGACAAACTCCTGTCTTCCTTAGTGGCCATAAAGAAAAAGGAGGAGACCCCTCGTTATTTTTTTTAAACTTCAAATCCAAAACTGCCCAACCTAGTAAACATGCAAAGATTATTCCAAAGCTAGGTACAACCATTGTGAGGGGGCGGACTTTGAATCAATGATTTTTATGCACCATATCAAGTCAGTTTATCCATTTAAGTTATATCTATTGCCTTACGTAATCATTCTCAAACAGTATGAATCAGATTTTACTGCTGTGCATGCAGAGTAATATTTTGACATAAACTGCCAAAAGCTAAGAAATCTCTGTAGTCAATATCCATTGCATGCTGAGTTGTGTGATACAACAGATAATGCCTATGGAAATTTCTTAGGTTGTGGCAATTCACTTCCAAAAGTTACTCTGTTTGCATAGCTCCACAACAGGATTTTCCCAGAATGTTCCCCGCTACAATTAGGAAATTGCTAACTAATTCCTCAGCAGTTTTATTAGTCACCGCTGAAAGGTTATTCTGCTAATAATGTTGATAATCATATTGGGAAATGAGACTTACCCACTTTGTAGTGTATGCAGCCTTCCAGATCACCCACCGACACCCAGCCTTGTCGTTTTTCCACATCAGGATCGTTCCGCAAAATTTTGTTTCGTAACCAGGATAAATAGTATACCCGTAGCTTATTCTTCTTTCCTGGTGTTTATTGGAAGAGAAGCAGAACATTTTAAAACTTAACTCCATACTTGACTGGGCCACTCCTATGTCTGCCTGTGGTAAACTGGGAAGTTATTTGTGATTAGTTAATTTTGGGAAAAGAGTAATTTAACCACTAGATGTAGTTAATAACAGCTGAGGTAGTTAGATGTAATCAGTAACAATTATCTACTTTCAAGGGAATTTTGAGGGGCATCTGATAGCAATTTTTCGGATTAATGATATTTTCTTATAAATCCTAAGTGACAAGGGAAGTATTACAGTGGTGCCTCGCAAGACGATTTTAATTCGTTCCGTGAAAATCATCATCTTGTGAAAAAATTGCCTTGCGAGGTTCCCTATGCATCAGACTCAAAAAACAAAAAACAAAAAAAACACCTCTTGCGAAGCATTGGTCTAAAAAAAAAAACCCTGTCTTGCAAACATTGGTCTAAAAAAAAGCCTTGCGAAGCACGGTCATAGAAAAAAACGTCTTGCGAGGCACCATAGGTAAAGGTTCCCCTTGACATTTAGTCCAGTTGTGTCCAACTCTAGGGCGCGGTGCTCATCCCTGTTTCCAAGCCATAGAGCCAGCATTTGTCCGAAGACAATTTCCGTGGTCACGTGGCCAGTGCGACGAGGCACCATAGTGATTGCAAAAACCAATCGTCTTGCGGGGTTTTCGTCCTGCGAGGCAATCGTCTAGCGAGGCACCCCTGTATTACGGTTTAAATTTTTTTTTTCAAATTGCAATACTGGCCACTAGAGGGATGGAGAGAGTGTTTTCCTGTACTTTTCAGGCATGTTGATAAGAACAACACTACCTGATAATAAAGAATGGGACCAGTTACTTGTAATGGCAAAGGCAACCTGGCTGCTAAGGTGTAAAGAATTATGGAATGAGTTACTTTTAAAAGACAACATTCCAAGCTCTGACCACTAGCATTTGAAACAGCCTGTTCCAACCCCCGTTTAAATCCTCTTTCTGACTGCTTACTCCCCTTCATTTGGTCAGCTGCTTTTAGACGTCAAACGAACCTGAGATGGTGATTAGCACATTGAGTCCTTCAAGCACATCCATCTGCTGAAACCGCCTCCTGGTTATCAGTGAGTAAACTCTTCCTTGACCACTTCTGTCTAGAAGCCACAATCCATTCTCGGTCCCCACAAGTAAATTCACTCCTGTTAACAAGCAATGGTGCCACGTGATGTCTGTCAGTACAAGCAAAACTTATAATGCGGATCATCTGAGGGAAATGGGTACAAGCCAGCCCACTTCCTGCTCAGGAAGTGAATGGGACAATATTCATCCCCCACCAATCAATGAGTCTTTTGTCTTTCAAAGTCACTTTAAAGAGGATTTCGATAAAGTCATGGCTGATAGGTCTACTAACAGCAATTAGTCATCATGATTCTTAGGATTTGTAAGGAAATGTTGAAATTACAGAGCCTTTATGTTCTGGGGTCAGCCAGTTAAGCGTAACATTGTGTTGCTGTCCCAAATCACAATGTTCAGGAGCCTCCTAAGCCTCTTATGGTCAATGAGCACTCAGCTGTCATTGGGTTGCTTTGGAGATTTCCTCTAGACCAGTGGTCCTTAACCTTGGGCCTCCAGATGTTCCTGGACTACAACTCCCAGAAGCCTTCACCACCACTTCTGCTGGCTAGGATTTCTGGGAGTTGAAGTCCAAGAACATCTGGAGGCCCAAGGTTGGGGACCACTGCTCCAGACCATTGGAACTACTTTCCTTCTAAGTGCTGTTTCGATGACCTAAGGATTAACCCTTGGAGAATTTCAAGTAATATCTTTCCAGACTTTGAGGCAGAAATCTTTCCTATTTCTGTTTGGAGACAACAGGGATTGAACCTGCAGCTTTCTATGTATAGGATATGTGCTACAACCCTGACTTCTAGGCATTAGCTCCTTTCTTGCCTCACCTTTCTCTCACCTCCTCTCTCTCCTTGTGTGTGTGCAAAAAATGAAAACATTTTTGTAAACAAACCACAAAAACCTTAGAGTCATCGTACACTTGCCACTGAAATTTCACCTAAAGTGATAACTGTGAGGCAAAGTTAGTGCCTCATTCAGGACCAAAAAATAAAATAAAATCATGAAATGATAGGGCAGAACCCAACAGATTTCCAGCAAGGCTTGTCAGAATTGGCTCTTCCTGCCTTTCCTCCCACCAAGAATTCACATCCTTGACTTCTGAATACCCAAGAAGAAGTTTGCTACTGCAGTTGAATTGTTTCCATGTCAGTGGAAGTGCCAAAGGGTTGATGCTTAGAAGCAACACCCAATGGGCCAGGCTTCCTTTTGGTTGCTATATTTTATATGGCTTCTTATCAGAGTGCTCTGGTGGAAATAATGAGATGGCATAAGGTACCATACAGCAAGGAGAAGAAATTGCAGCAAAGCAGTAGCAGTGGTCCGGGAACCTTTCCCCACCTCAGCACACACATCATTATCCGTTTTGCTACGCTGTTCCTGTTCTTAATTTAAAATCTTGGCCTCTTCCAAACATATATCAAATGGAACCCAGAGAGCTGTAAACTGTAAATCTACATTTCCTGGGATAATTTCCTCCCCACATTTCATTCATTCATTTTGTTTCTCCTTAACGACTCAAGCCGAGGCAGAAGGGTGTGGGTAAAATATCTTTTCGGTTCTGTGGAGCTCATCGCTGTGCTGGCTGATATCGGGAAAGATGGAAAGTTAAAGCTAAGGAGGAGTTACAGCAGAAATAACGAGGACCAGTCTTTAAATGATGGGTAGATCAGTCCAGTGTTTGGGGTCTTACATGTGGATGGGGCAAATGTCTATGGTTACTTAGAGTCTGTGGATACCTATGGTTATCTAGAGAAGCTGTGTCTTGGAAGTTCCAGGAGATGAAAAAGGAGATACTTCTTCACATAGTGCTTAGCTAAACTGTGGAATTCATTGGCACAGGATGTAGTGATGGCTGTCAACTTCAAAGAGGTTAGGGGCATCAATGGTAAAAAGCAGCCTCCCCCCATATATATCAGTTGTTGGAGAACCTGAGCAGAAAGGTGAAATCACACTCAAATCTCTTTTGAGGACTTCCTGCAAGCAACCACGAGGACTGCAAGACTTTGGTCCAAACTAGAAGGGCTGGGACTTCCTGCAAGCAAAGAGTTGGCAACCACGAGGAGTGCAAGACTTTGGTCCAAACTAGAAGGGCTCCTAGTTTGGAGCCCTTCTAGTTTGGTTGTATATCGTATCTCCAGGAAAGGGCTGTTCTGGGATGTAGAATGAGCGGAGATGCCTTCAAAGGTAAAAGGCCCTCACCAACGTGGAGTGCACAGTGAGATGAGAGAAGATGGCATACTCTGACGGAACGGCCAAAGAATGCCACCCTGGGAGAATCTCTACGGAAAGAGCCTGCAGAATCAGGGACCTGCTATGACACACACACCCCATGGACAAAACACACCGGCTCCATGTGGCCATCATTACTCCTAGGGCTTCAGCTGCAGATTTATTGATCAACTCCAAGATTATGACAGGTACCACCTGCATCTGAGAACTGAAACACAAGGCCTGGCGGCATCATGAGACATCCAAGCTGACCCTCACTTGGAAAGAAGAAAGATCCCATGTTCCAGATCGGGGCCTTGCTGTGCCTATAGAAAGACAGCGGGAACAGCTAAATACACTCAGGGGCTGTCCCAAGCATGTTGCTATGCAACCTCTTTTGTCCCGCTCCTTGTGCCTGACTACGATTTACGGACACAAGCCTTTGCTCATCTTATTTTTCCAAGATATTATTCCCATGCCTACAAGACTGAAATATTTTCCGTCAGCCTCAAAAGAGAGTTTTTTGCATTTGCATAAATTATGCCAATTATGCAAACTGCATATGAAAGCCACACTAGCAGCTGCCCTATAGCATACAGAGGCTCTTCAAAAACAGTCATACTGGAAGGGCGGCTTGAGTCTTTCTGATCACTCCACACAGTCCTTCTGTCACACACCTTTCTCAGTGTGTGTGTGTGGGTTTGTGCTTTACTTCACAAAGAAAAAAGACCCTACTTTGGGGCAAAGACCATTTGTGCAAATTTGGGGAAGAAGAATAAAAGGACTTGCTGTCTCCTTCTCATGCTAGAAGCAAGAGATAAAATTTGCAAACTCTTTACAGGCTGTCTTGAGAGGCAACTTTAATGTATTTTACCTTTCAAGTACGACAGATCCTCTGTCAATACCGTCCAGGACTTCTCTCGATTTTTCTTGATTTTCTGGATAGCTACCCCACCTCTCTTAGGATTTTTTGGATAGCTACCCCAAGAGAACCAGTGGCCACAACTGGCCTGCATCCAGGGCACATAACAGGCTATTTTTATGGATCTGAACAAACAACGACTAATTGCCTTTCTAGAACAGCTTTATAGGACACCATGATGACTTATTAGCCATTTCCACTTCAGACAAGATTGCTTACCCCACAATGCGGAACACAGGATCTCTGAATTGAACTTCTTTTTATATTTGCGAATTTCCGGGCTGTCGCTCTGCGGCCGAGTGTTCGTGGGGTTCACATTGACGACGGAACCTTTCCTTGCATTTTGTCTACTGGAAGGACCTGGTTTCACATTGGCTGCTGGGGGGAAAAAACAGGAGAAGTTTACGAACCAGCCACTTGGTCTTCCTGTAGAGCAGTGGTCCCCAACCTTGGGCCTCCAGATGTTCTTGGACTACAACTCCGAGAAGCCTTCACCACCACCTCTGCTGGCCAGGATTTATGGGAGTTGAAGTCCAAGAACATCTGGAGGCCCAAGGTTGGGGACCACTGCTGTAGAGTATTAAGTCTCATGAGGAAACAGTGCTTTACTTCCTGTCTTTCTGCAGCCTCCCAAGGGAATTCGACCTGCCACAGCCCCAATGCCACCCCTTTCTGAGAATGTCTAACAGTCAAACTAAAGGTAGCATTAAATCCTATCCCATTTAATGTGCATATTTTTCCATTTTAAAATCTCTCAATTTAATGTCCCTTTAAAAAAAATGCAAATCACCAGCTGCTGGAGCTGCTGGGTTGGAGGTGGTATTTGCTATATATGAGGTTTGCAATATATCAGGAGATGAAGGCAAGTTAAACTCCTTTTCTCCTCATCTGTGGGTCTGATGAAGCTGTGTACTGTTTCAGAAACTTCTTCACTGGAACCCGTGGAGTTATTTGCTGCCAATGCAATTATCAGGTTCAGAAGACTGATTTTCATCAGGACCACAGAAGGGGAGGAAACGTTTGAACTCATTCATTCTGTCTGCTGTGATCCTGATTTCTCCCTCCCTCCCTCCCTCTCTCTCCCTGTGTCACACATATATAGACCTTGCACTTGCATTTTTCAAGGCTTGAAAATTAATTGCACTTGAAGTTTTCCTCAGCATGCCCCTTAAGTAATGTTAGAGATACCGTAGCACAGCTCCACTAACAAGAACAGCCCCATTCATGACCAATCCACTCTTAGGGTGCAACTAAATAATTCTGACTTATGATGACCCTCTCCAGGGTTTTCTAGGTAGATAATAATTAGAAGTAGTTTATCGTTCCTTCTTCTAGGAAGGACGATGAAACTGTGCAGCTTGCCCATGGCTATACAGGCTGGCTCTTCCCCCAGGAGGCACAGTGGGGAGTCAAACTCCAAAGCTCTAGAAAAATACAAATGGATCCACCGTGAAATTTGTCCAAAGCTCTGACTCCGCAGTGGAAAAAAATACAAATGGATCCACCGTGAAATTTCACCCAGGAGGTTGGGTTTCTCCATGTAAATTCACTTTAGCAAACCACACAGGGGGCAGCAGAGAGACAGGAGGAAATTGACTTTCAGCCTTGTTTGCAGCTTGTTAAGGTAGTTCTGCTGTAGCTATCCAGGCATTCAGGAGGCATAGATACAGCAAAACTACCTTAACAAGCTGCAAATAAGTGCTCATTAGCAATTTCCTCCTTGTTCTCTGCTAACCCCTCACTTTTATTTCCCTTTGGTCCCACAGGAGCCCTAGTGAGATTGTGCCAAGACGAAGAAGACGAAAAAGAAGACGAAGAAGAAGACGAAGAAGAAGAAGAATGGAAAGGGAAGAGGAAAACATGAAGACCCTGGCACTAGGTTTGACAAGGATTCAAATAGTAGCCAGTTTCCCATATGAATGCGCCCACTGCTGTATCTTGCTCCTAGTGCAGCAGGGTGGAACCCATAAAAGGGTTAAGGTATATCCATCAGCACAAGCCATCACTACAACTGAGATGATGAAAATGCATTCACTTCTTAAAAAGTAGAAGCCCCAAAGGCAAAGATTCACATAGCTTGATTCACATTGACTTGCATGTTGTGTAGTCAATGGAAAATAACATGAATTTGACCCTCCCAATCCTGGAGCAATTCCTGTATTATCTGACAATGTGGTTGCTCTGTTGGGCTACTCCTAATGTTATTTTATTGGAACTCCAACACTAGTGTCATTCAGAACCTAAATATGGTCGCATTCGATAAAGATTAGGACTTCTACTATAGGCTTCCTTGGGAGCTACTTAAAAAGCAAGTAAAACAAAATGTTAAATTTATATCACGGTCGTGACAGCTGTGTGTAAGTATTTCCAAAATCTAATGCAATGCATTGCATCTCTGCACAAATTCTGCAGAAACTCTGAAAGCACCTGGATATAGATACCAACCATTGAGACAGCATTTTGTACAGAAATATTAATTGTAATGTGGCAGTCGTACAGTTGTACAAAGTTCTGAACTGTGTTTCTGTACGTCAGTGAGGAATCAGTTAGAGCTTGCAAAAGATTTTTTTCAACTACAAGTTCCAGAATCTCCCATCCAGCCTGACCAGTAGTTGTCCAGCACAGTCAACAGCCACACCGGTTGGTTGATTCAGGAAGCACTGCCTCCAAAGAGCAACATTTCCAAGTCCCCCAATTAGAAACATAGGAAAGTCGTCTCAGACTGCATCATATTATTGGTCTGTTCCAATCTGTATTAAAGTGACTGGCATGGTCTCTTTAGAGTTCCAAATATTTTTTTTCCTGACTGTCCCTAGAGATGCTGAGGTCCGAACTGAATGAGGGATGATCAGCACACAAAATGTTTCCCATTGGACTAAGGCCCCCTCTTAAATCCTGAAGAACATCATCTGACATATACAGTGGTGCCCCGCAAGACGACAACCGGCAGAACAATGAAATCGCATGATGATGACTTTTTTGTGATCACTATAGCGATCGCAAAATGATGTTCCCTGTGGGGGATTTTCGCTTGACATGGATTAGATCCTTGCTTCGTGAACTGTTTGTTCGCAAAACGACGATTTTTCCAGCTCCGCAAAATGGCTTCCCTTCACAAAATGGATGGCTTCCCTTCGCAAAATGGGTGTTTTCCAGACAGAAGCTTCGCAAGACAGCGATTTAAAACAGCTGATTGGCGGTTCTCTATGGGCGATCTTCGCTGGACAACATGGTATTTCCCCATAGGAACGCATTATACGGTTTTCAATGCATTCCAATGGGGATTCCCCCCGCATGACAACGATTTAGCTGTACAGCGATTTTCCTGGAATGAATTATCGTCGTCATGTGGGGCACCACTGTACACCACAATACAAGCAACTGTCGCATGAGCTATGGGAAGGGCAATGATACTCACGACAGCCACTGTTCGGTCCAGTGGGGCTGGAAGGTGGTGAGATTTGTAGAAGCCGAGGATCTATGAAGGCAGTAAATGATGACGTGGATGAGGAACTATTATTTGACTGGGTACTGTCAGTGCTCGGTGCCTAAAAAGGGGGGAAAGTAGAAGAAATCATGGCACAACTGGCTGGAGAGATGGTGCTAATTCTAGAGCAAGTGGTTTTAGTTCCACATCTTACTGACAGTGACACTAGAACTTTATGAATGTTTGCGCACATTTTGGTTCTACAACCAGTGATAAATATGGTAGAGTGCACTTTTTCTTCTTACAAATAAGGACATAGGACTCTGATAGAATAATATATTAATAATCTTGGACCTATGGAGCTGGAAGGGACCCTTCTGGATCACTGAGTCCAGCTGCTGTCAAGGAAGCACAGCAGGGGAACTGAACTCCCAGCCTCCGGCTTCGCAGTCAGATGCCTAAACCACTGAGCTATCCAGCAGTTTCATCTGCACTGAAACCTCTGTACATAGAGAAGGGAGGTTTACACCTCCTCTACACTCATTCTTCTATATTCCTCTGCCTATCAATTAGCCTTTCATTGTTTTTCACATTTCTCCTGAGTTTGAAAATATTATCATGTTTAGACCTCACCGGTCACGCTAGACGGGAGATGTTGCAAAAATCACCAAAAACGGGAACATTCCCAAACGTTGGTTGTTTCCATCATTTAAGAGTTTTACCTTATTAAAAACAGGCTTTCTCTGAGGTTCTTGACTACTTTCGACAACTTTGAGCTGATTTGCTGAACAGTCCGAAATTCGGCTCTGCTGCAAAAGGTCGGGGAGGAGATAATTTTGATTGCTCATGCTCCAGAAACCTTCGCGAGTGCTACAGCTGAGTTTTCCTGAGGTACAATCCTGTATCAAAGAATAAAACATTGAATTTGTGACCCTAATTAAGGCGCTTTCTCCCTCTGTTCCTCCTAACTTGCATTATCGGTCACTAGTAAGCTGCAGTAATGATAGAAAAACATTGGCTAACGCAAGTTCAAATCTCTGTACTATATCAAAACTAATGAAAATCAGATTATGACGGAAATGTCAGAGCCTTGGGGGGGAAAGAGAGGAATAAGATAAAATGGCACCAGAAATGGGATTCTGATGGATGTCAACTGCTTAAAGGACACTGATAACGCTCCATGTTTATGCAGTGTGGTGTTCATCTTCACCACACTTAGCAAATGATACCTAATTCATTCTCCCAACTGTCTGAGATGGGGAGGCAGAGAAGCATCAGTGAGGTAATGAAGTGGTATGTCTTCAAGTAGTTGGCATACCACTGGAAGAACTGTACATTTAAAAGACTACCTTTGCTAGGATGAATCTCCCTGTCTACTGAGGCCTTCCAGTTATGAAACTCTGCTTAAAATCTCTCCCCCACCCCAAATATAAGCCAAAATGTTGGCTTAAATAATCAGAGGCTTTGGCGACCTCACCTTGAAACTTTGAAAGAGCTGTTTAAGATCTGGGGTGGTGAGATTGTGGTTTTGTCTGAAATAAAATGTTTTAAAATTATTTTATGTTTAAGAAAACTGCTCTGTTTTTTGGAAAACAAAATCACGGGCCTGATTTGGCAGTGGAACATACTTTAGTCCGTCCTCTTATTTCCTGTTATATTTTAGTTTCAAAATTTATAAGCTGCCTTGAATAACAGAAAAGGTGGAATATAATTTTTTTTAATGGATAGGTAAGACATTAAGAAGAAGACTTCCCACTGGTATATAATCAGGAAGAAAAATATTATCTGTATGCTATAAGAGAGACTGTCTTGATAGCTCAGTGATTTAGGTTACTGGCTGCAAAGCCAGAGGTTGGGAATAAGGGACATATCCTTCCAACATGTGGCCAACTAGGCCTCTGGTTCTCAACCTTTGGGTGTTTCGTTCAAGGAATCTTAGCCAACAAGACCAATGACTGCAGTTCTGGGAACTAAAACCCTAAACATCGGGGGGGGGGGACGCCAGTGGCTGAGATCCACTGATATAGACCAGTACTGGTCAATTGATGACTAGACATGTTTATATTTTTGAACAAAATGGGTTGGCCTGGGAAGGTAAGTCATAGTGATAGCTTTAAGAGGGATTCAGATTATCCAGCCCATTTCAAGATATTACAGATTCATCTCCTTGAAATCTTCAGCTGTTTTTGTCCTTTGATTTTTAAAGATGACATTCCTAAGCACACTCATTTGGAAGTGTGTTGAAGCCAATACACTTCGGATTCTACAGGATTTCTCTAACCATATAGTTATGGAGATACAATCTCATACAGATAGTATTTTCTCCACTTTCTCAGTTAATAGTAAATCTGCTTCTCCCAGGCCCAGACCTCTGGAGAATGTGCATAATGATTAGCATGACAGTCAAGTGCTATTTGAAAATTGCAGCAACCAAATTTCATTTAAAAATACATAATCGTTTCAATGCCAAAAGATTAGGACTCCTCTCTTTACATTTTTGCTGCTTCATATTAATGTAAAGATCATGGCCACTGGCCTCATCACCTCCTGGCAAATAGAAAGGGAAGATATGGAGGCAGTGACGGATTTTACTTTCTTGGGCTCCATGATCACTACAGATGGGGACAGCAACCACAAAATTAAAAGACACGTGCTTCTTGGGAGGAAAGCGATGACAAACTTCGACAGCATCTTAAAAAGCAGACATCACCTTGCCGACAAAAGTCCGCATAGTCAAAGCGATGGTTTTTCCAGTAGCGATGTATGGAAGTGAGAGCTGGACCGTAAAGAAGGCTGACCACTGAAGAATTGATGCTTTTGAATTGTGGTGTTGGAGGAGACTCTTGAGAGTCCCCTGGGCTGCAAGGAGAACAAATCTATTATAAAGGAAATCAGTCCCGAGTGCTCACTGGAAGGACAGATCCTGAAGCTGAGGCTCCAATCCTTTGGCCATCTCATGAGAAGAGAAAACTCCCTGGAAATGACCCGCATATTGGGAAAGTGTGAAGGCAAGAGGAGAAGGGGACAAGAGGACGAGATGGTTGGACAGTGTCATTGAAGGTACCAACATGAATTTGACCCAACTCTGGGAGGCAGTGGAAGACAGGAGGGCCTGGCGTGCTCTGGTCCATGGGGTCACGAAAAGTCGGACATGACTTAACAACTAGACAACAAAATGCCATGAGATGTCTTTGACCTCTTCCAGCTCTGTGGCCCCACAACAGTAGATACCCTGATGTCTCGGGGTCAAAATGTGAAGGCTTGACAGTACTGGAAAACATGAGGGTCTTATTACAAATGGAGATGGACACTGAGAGGATTATTCATCCATTTCCCCTCTACGGTCTGCTGATGCAATAAGAGACAGAGATGTTTTATAGCTGGCACTGAAAACAGAAGCCGCCTTCTGCGTGGTTTGCTACAAGAGGAAAACAACCGACTGGAGTTCAGCATTTGCGAGTGCCAGCCCGTATGTTTGCAGACAAACCGTGAATCCTGAGTGGAAACAATCTGAGGTTCTACGAGCCAAACTACTAATTGGAAAATGTGGAAATGAGATAGATGCTTTCTGGCCTCCTGCTTTGCGTTAAAAGCCACAGAACAGAATACGAATTGTAATATGTTCTCTGGAGTTTTGTAAGCCCTGTTACAGATTCAGGCTTTCGGATGGGAACTGGAAGAGAATTGTGTCTTATGTCCTCTCCCAGTCTCCTTGTCAAGAGATACTGGTGCATTTTGCAGCCCTGGGTGATTGTCCAGTCCCCGCCACCATATCTTCCAGATTTTAATGTTTATTGGTATTAGAAGTTACTGGCTTGATAATTCTTACTTCCCAGAGAATCCTGGGATTTGCAGATCTGTACTGGGAGGGAGAAAGTTCTGGTTATGGGTTTCTTAGCGCCTATTCTACAGTACACATCGCATCATTCTGTAAGGAAAGTCACAATATTTTAACAGTTTGCATGCACAACCGAAAGCGCTGGTGGACCGTGGGGTTTATAAGGCCCTCTGTGCTCACCCAAATCCTCTTGCCATTTGAGTTAAGAGGAATTACCACTGCCTCCATCTCCTCCCAATCCTCCCAACGGACTCCTAGTTCTTCCCCCTTCACTGTCATTGTATCATTCTCTTTCCTGCCCATCACGCTACATGGATGTAGACCTTTCCCCCTTCCTTTACCGCTGTGAAGATGTAATGCCCACGACACCTATATGTCTGCCTGATGGACTGCCAGGCTAGAGATGGGTACGAACCGTGGTTCGGCAGCACAGTTGATCTACAGGTACCTTGCTTCCCTTTCATCAGGGACCCATTCAGAGGCAGTGATGTGGCTTCCCAGCCCTGCCTCCTCTGAGCACCGCCTATGAATGGGCATCCACCTGGGGAGGCTGGGGGCACCTGTGGATCAGCTGTGCTGCCCGCCCATGGTTTGTGCCCATCTGTCCCCTCGGAGTGGGGTTGTGCCAGACCTTGCACAGATGGCCAGTTCAGCCTAAAGATGGGCTGATTGCTCTGTGCAGTCTCTTCCATCGGTGCAGACAAACAAGGAGCACTCCTGCTGCCACACTGCGAAAGGGTAAAGAAGAATAGCAACAGCTGCCACCAGTAAAGGTACAGGGAGCAGGGATGGCTCTGAAGTGGGGGAGAAAAGGAGAATTTACCATTCCTTGTGCTTTAGCGCATAAGGGAACTGCCTTGCTCATCCTACTGGCAGGGACCTCCTCAAAAGCCCAGTGGCTCTGGATCCAGGCTGTCTGGAGGACCAGATCGTCCCACAGGAACCTGCTTGAGATCTGCTGGACATCTTCAGGGCACCGCTCTCTTTTGGCTTCATCACCCTCAGAGGCATATCAGGTGAGATGCAAGAGAGGGCTTTTCTTTTGGTTGGGTATGCCAAGCTTCCAGAGCTCCTTACCAAGAGAATACTCAACTATCCAACAAACAGCAACAGAGCATGGACAGAGCTCCTAGTCCACTCCTCTTAAGACGCCGGCCACAGAGACTGGTGAAACATCAGGAAGAACAACCTTCAGAACACGGCCAAAGAGCCCAAAAAACCCACAATAACCATCAGAATGACAGGTTGCTTCCCCTTCAACAACCCTTTTGAACAAGCAAGCGTTGGACAACTGATTGTTTGACGAGGAAAAGGGATCGAAGAGAGTGCACTATACTGTCTTCATTGAGGTGTTCTAAATGGTGTCTATTTTAAGTTTGGTTTAATAGTTGAAATAAATTGTGCTTTAGTTTATTCCCATCATCATCATTGGACTCATCATCATCATCCCAATTTTACTGTGAGCCCCATCATCATCACTGGACTCATCATCATCATCATCCCAATTTTACTGTGAGTTGTCTTGAGTCCCTTTCTGGAAGAAAGGCGGGATGTAAACCCAAAGAACATATGAATAAGACAGGTGGAATCATATCTGGACCATATGATTTTAAATTTAGCTGGCTGGATACAGTGAGTTAAGCATCTGGCCGCAGAGACAGAGTTGGGGAGTTCAATTCCCCCCACTATGTGCCTCCCAGGAGAAGACCCAGCCTGGGTGGCCTTGGGCAAGCTGCTCAGTCCCAGAACGTCCCAATAAGAAGGGAAGATAAACCACTTCTGAGTACTTTCTACCTAGAAAAACCCTAAAAAGAAGACATAAAAAGTCAGAACTGATTTGATGGCATCCAATTACAGTGGTGCCTCGCTTAATAACGATAATCCGTTCCAGGAAAATCGCCGTTAAGTGAAAACATCGTAAAGCGAAAATAAAAACCCCATTGAAAAGCATCAAACCCATTCAATGTGTTCCAATGGGGTAAAAACTCACCGTCCAGTGAAGATCTTCCATACGGCGGCCATTTTTGCTGCCTGTATAGCGAGGAATCCGTTCCTAAACACAGCGGGCAGCCATTTTAATCACCGATGGCCATTTTGAAACCGCCGATCAGCTGTTCAAAAAACCTCGTTTTGCGAAGAATTGGTTCCCGAAGCAGGGAACCAGGGAACCGATCATCGCAAAGCGAAATTCCCCCATTCAGACCATTGTTTTGCGATCGCAATTGCGATCGCAAAAAGATCATCATTAAGCAGATTCATCGTAATGCGGGGCAATCATAAAGTGAGGCACCACTGTATTATTATTTATTCTAAATTTCCTGGATTCTTGATTTTGGAAGCTTGCTCAGTACACCTTAAATGATTTTTTTAAAATACAAAACGTTATTTTAGAGGGGGAGGCAGTCACAGTTTGTACGAGATGACCTACATAGCAGTCTGTGGCAGATGTGGGGGGGAAGAGCTATCAAGATTCTTAATTTGTCACATTAGCAAGGGGGAAGTAGCTAAACACCGACTTCAGGAAATGAAATGAATAAGACTTAAATGAAATGCGGGGGGGGGGGAAGAGTTGCTTTTAACTCATACTTCGTCCTGCAAAGAAAAAGAGTTTTAAACAGATGAAGTTTAAATTTAGAATCTTTACTTTTGCGATGGATGTGAAAGTGGTGCATTAATGCATCCAACTTTTTAAATTCCAACCCTTAATCTGATTACTCTAATTCTCATATGATCTGGCTAACATGGAAACTTCGCACGGCTGTTCCAAAGGGTGACTAATTAGGGAATATGAAAGGGACAGAGTGGCACAGAAAGGGCTGGCAAAGCTGACAGTAGAAGACCTCTGTAATGCATTCCTGGGTTTGTTTTTTTTTAGCAGATTGTGTAAACTCCTGCTTTTTAGCTAATGAGCAAACTTGCTCTTCACAACAAAGCTTAGTCTGTCTTTGTTGCTTGGGGCACAGAGTGCGCAGGAGATGGTTGACTCAACCGGCTGTGGGTTGTCTTCCCCATGCCTGGTTTGTTTCCCTCCCACTCCTTTTGTTAGGTCTCCTTTCAGAAAGGGCTTTTGCTGGGGAAATAAACCACGAAGGTGGATCTGGATATCCCAACGCACTGTGGGTTAAACCAGCCTGAGTTTATGAGCCAAAAACAACCCATAGATTCAGATTATGGTTTGTGCTTGGTTAACAAAGCATGGCTTGCGAGGTGAAGTAGGTTTGAAGTGAAATTTCGATAAAAGACACTGTGGATTTTTGTAATGTGTGAATGGAGTCAATGGGAAGAAGAGTGGCAAATGTTTTAAGAGGTATGAGTGCAAGGAGATCATTCTAGGTCAGCAGAGACCCATAGCAAGAATACTGGACCTCGGAAAAAGGTCTTGAGCCATCAGTCATCAACTTTCTGCAAGCTCAAGGTTAGACAATGAAAACTTTCTGGCAAATAAATTAATTCCTAGGGCCTGATTTCAGCTGGTTGCCTCAATCTGAGTGTAGACCCACTAGATATAAGCTTCACTCACCTTTCAGTTTATATTGCTTTAGATTTATGATACCACCACAACAATATGCAGATGCGTTGAAAGGACATGGCTCAGGATTTCTGTCATACTGAAAAATTATGGATTAATTTTTCGATTTATTTATCCAGATGTACAGAATGGCTCAGAATATGTTGGAAACCACCCAGAGTAGTAACATATCACAAGATGGTGCAGTAGAAAAAACAAACAAACAAACAAATGGCATCTTTTGGTTGCCTTTTGAGTTTACCTTGTGATCGATCACAGCACTCTGAGGTTTCAGTTCGATCTCATCTGGAACTCGAGCCCTTGAGAAACCTGGCATTCCATTGCTGAGTCGTTGCCTAGTAACAAATGCCAATTAGTAAGTAGGAAAAAGGAAAATGAAAGACACAAACAAAACAGCACTATATTATCAAGTAAAATCAATGAACAGATGCAGGCATCGTAACATTTCCCCCATATAGTTTATACGAAGCACGTTAAAGGCAAATGTCTTTTTACTTTTCAAAAGTTGTCTTAGTGAACTGGACTTTTACTGGCCTTCCTGAACTTGGTGTTCGCCAGGTGTTTTTTTTAAACACAGCTCCCCTTAGACCCAGTCAGATGACCAATGATCAGGGTGGATGGAAGCTGTAGCTCCGAACATCCAAAATCATCATCAGCATCATGTGCTTTCAAGTCAGTTCTGACTTATGGCAACTCTTTTTAGGGTTTTCTAGGAAAAGAATACTCAGAAGGATTTTATCATTCCCTTCTTCTGCATTTACAGTGGTGCCTCACTTAATTCATTCCAGCGAAATCGCTGTAGAGCGAAAACGTCGTAAAGCAAAATTTAAAAAGCCCATTGAAATGCATTGAAACCTGTTCAATGCATTCCAATGGGCTGAAAACTCGCAGTCCAGCGAAGATCCTCCATAGGGGCGGCCATTTTCCATGCCTGTGCAGCGAGGAATCTGTCCCTAAGCACAGCGGGGGGCCATTTTCTTCAGCTTTTTTTGATCATCGTAAAGCAAAGATCGGTTCCCGAAGCAGCGAACCGATCATCGTTAAACGAAAAAACCCCATTGGAATCATCATTTTGCGATCGCAAAAAACCTCACCGTCAAGCGGATTCATCATTAAACAGGGTAATCGTAAAGCGGAGCATGACTGTACTCTACCTAGTGGCTCCACCAGTGATTAATGCGCCTTCCTCCAAAACATGAGGCGGGGGCCCAACTTTGAATGCCTTGGCATGCCTCATGGTCTGAGGCAGTCCAGGAAGCAGCCAAACATGAGGGAGGGGTCTAAACAGGAAACCTCTCTCCTCCTCCTCCCCCAGAGCTACTGGATCCCAACAAAAAACAGAGTGAAACCCCCTTTTTTGCATTTTTTTTCTCTGACTGGCTCTGTGAGAAGAAGGGAGTCGGTCTGCAAAATGAGCATGGGAAGGCTGCATGTATTTCAAGAACTGTACTTTGGGCACTTCTGCTTTAACTAGGTTGTTGACCCTTTACTGTCCCCCCTTTTTTTGGTTAAGTGGAGTTTCCTCTTATATAGCAACATACAACATCTGTTTTAAAATAGCAAATGATGCAGATGGTGCTGTCAGCTGTGAGACTGGCACACACGGGCTTCAGTGGCTGGTTTCTCTGCCTGCAATACATGTAGAAGTAGCGGCAAATGAAGAATCATGTACATCTGTGCTTCTATGCTGCTACAGAGGATGATGTGTCTGCCATTTACAACCATGGCATCACTCATGCTCCACCATTTAAATTTGTGAACCAGCCCTTTATTGTGAACCACAAATACCACCACAGGCTTCTCATTAAACTTCATCCAGTTGTCTTGGCACAGACAAGACCTATAAGAAACGTTATCAATTGTAACCTATAAAGAGTACAGAGAAGTTACATCTTTGGACTATAACTCATGAAATCTTCCAGCTAGCTATGTTGGCTGGAGGGATTCTGGGTCCAAACAAGAAATGTTTCCAAGCTCTGGATGGGCTGAGTTTTTCCTCTCAACAACTCCTATTAATTTCAGCAGAAGAACGAGCAGTTATAGGTTTGTTCACGGCAGAGTGTGTTTGAAGGAATGCTGCAAAAACACTCTGGTACAACATGAGTGGGGTAGTAAATATTCACTTACTGTATTTTTTGCACCATAAGACTCACTTTTTTCCCACAAAACAGGGGGGTGGAAAGTCTGTGCATCTTATAGAGCGAAGAAAACAGATTATATTTTCCTGTTTTCTTCTCCTAAAAAATCGGTGCGTCTTATGGAAAGGTGCGTCTTATGGAGCGAAAAATACGGTATTTTTCTCTCTGAGGGATGAAAGATCTCAAAAGTCTTATCCCTGTTGGCCTTTTTTGTGAGTGGCAATTTGGCACCCATGTTTGTGAAAAAAAGTCAGGAAAGGGTTCCCCCCAAAGACTTTGTATTCTGCAAGCAAAAACACCTCCCAATCCTTATGTTCTGTACAAATACAAACTTTTTAATAGAAAATAAAAGTTTTCCATGTTGAAAAACCAATCAGAACAAAAGAATACTCTACTTTTGGAAAAAGTTCTAATCTTGTGCAAGAATGAAAAACATGGCCATCACTGATCATCCTTCCAGTGGGGTGATTTGTGAATATTCACTACATCTTTAAAAGGCACCTTGTTTTTGCAGCTGTACAAACTTTTTAATAGAAAATAAAAGTTTTCCATGTTGAAAAACCAATCAGAACAAAAGAATACTCTACTTTTGCAAAATCTTCTAATCTTCTTGTGCAGGAATGAAAAACATGGCCATCACTGATCATCCTTCCAGTGGGGTGATTTGTGAATATTCACTACATCTTTAAAAGGCACCTTGTTTTTGCAGCTGTCAGTAGTAATGTGAGATAATTTTGAAGCGGAGGCACTCATTGTCTCAAAAGCCACAGGAAAATCCCCTGAACCAGGCACATTCAAAAGCTCCATAGGCTGGCTCTAGTAATATCCATATCCACTAGGAACAGGTCAATTGCAAATCCTAATGGCCCATTCAAGAACAAGATACTTTCAAATAGTCTGACTCTCAATCACCCATAAGATAATATGATTACAAGGAAAATCCCATTTCCTCCTAGCTGCTATGAGGTTTATTTCTAAGTTCAGAAGGAACAAGAAAGTCTGATATGGATAGGAGAGTATGTGATTTTTCCTGGTTCCTGTGAACCCTGGTGCCACTACACCACTGGGTATCAAAACCGCTAAAATGATGGCACTAAACATTTTTTAGAGAGAGAGAAAAATCTGAATGCATTAATTCTCCTCGTGCAACAAGATACAAAACCCAACCAACATTCAACAAGCAATTTCATTGGTCATTCTTGGTTGGAGGGAAGAGTGGGAAAGCCAACCTTATGTCATTGCTGTTATTATCACCGTCATCATCACTGCTGCACATTTCATCACTGGAGGATGAATATTCCAATGATGTCCGGAACAAGCTGCTGCCATCTTTCGACTTGACCAAGAAGGGTGGACTCTGAACAAAAGGAAAGACTCTGATTGAACATGTCCTTTGTAATAAAATCTACTGCCATAGATATATGACATTCTATATAATTTATCTTCTAGTTATCCTTGCCTAACTTTCCACAACCTGGACTACAACTCCCACCATCCCTGGCCAGCAAAACTTTGGGAAATCTGAGTGAAGAAAGCTGCCCTAGAATAATTGGATGGTGTACTCTCTAGAATGATTTATTCTGAACATGAGTTTTTAGCATGCTCATATTGGACCAAAATGTTTCTCTATAAAGAGGCCACTCCTGATGCAGGTCTGAACACATGTACAGGCACAGTGGGACTTGTTTCTGAATCACCTTCCAGAGACTTGCATAGTAAAACCGCAAGATGGGCAGAGACAGTCTGTTGGCAGTCTGTTGAACTCCAACCAGGCACACACAACCACTCAAGAGTCTCTGAGGTGAAGATCAAGACCCCATCTGTACCTAAACCCCCAAGGAAGCAGGATGCAGACACACATGGGGGTTTAGAGGGCAGCCAAGAAGAGAGGGGGAGGAGCTAATTTAGCCCTGGCCCACGGCTGACATAAAGGAGGCTTTGCCACGAAAAGAGGAGAGAAGGAAATCAGGAGGAGAAGGAGAAGCTCCTGATGGAAGGGAGGAGAGGAGCTAATTTAGCCCTGGCCCATGGCTGATATAAAGGAGGCTTTGCCACGAAAAGAGAAGGAAATCAGGAGGAGAAGGAGAAGCTCCTGATGGAAGGGAGGATCCCCCAGAGATAAGTCCTGAAGAAGAAAGACAAGGTGGATCAGGAGAAGCCGGGTCAAGTAGTTGAGTCGGGGAAGGAGGAACCAGAGAATACTAGTGAAACCCAAAGGCAGAGAGAACCTGAAGAACGGGGCGATGCCTAAGAAGAGGAATAGATGGGGATCTATTGGGCTGAAGAATCCCCAAAGAAGACCAGAAACTCTATGGGAGTGGGATTAGGTCTAGCAAGAGGGTCCCTGGGGAAAAGCTGGGGGTCCCCAAGGGAGAAGGAGGGAAACACAAGAATCCCCATATCAACCATCAACGGGAGTTGGGAAGCTAATAAATCAGGAAGGCTCTGTCTCACCAAGAAGCAACGCTGGAGCAGGAAGAGGTGGAGAAAGCACCAAATTCAGGTGAACATCAGGGAAAAGGAATCCAAGGACTGGGCTCATTCTGGTTTCACACAGGAACACAGACCCCTAAAGTTGGTCCCTGATGCAATCATACCAACCCTCATTATTAGGGGCAGTTAAAAGACCAGGGACCCCCAGGTCCAGGAATTTTAAGTCTTTAACACTGGATTTTCTGAACTTTCTGAACAGATGGTGTCCTCCTTGAAATCAAAGGAACAAGAGATCAGCTAGAAAGACCTTGGCCTAGTATCAGGAACTAGGACCAAGAAAACACATTCTTGTTCATCCTCTTCCCAGTTCAATAGGACCAGGGACCCCCAGATCTAGGAATTGTAAGTCTTTAACACTACAGAGTTCATGGATAAGACCTGAACTTTCTGAACAGACGGTGTCCTGCTGGAAACCAAGGGACAAGAGAACAGCTAGAAAGACCCTGGCCTAGTATCAGGAACTAGGGCCAAGAAAACAAATTCTTGTTCATCCTCTTCCCAGTTCAATAAATAAACCCTGTTCTGTAGCAACCCATATGTCTGAAGTGTATGAATTCAAGAATAAATGAAACACCATCTGCAGAGTCAGTTTGGGTTTACAGGGCTCACAGAGACTCAAACTGAATATCACAGCGGTGGATACAGTTGTTTAAAATGCAGTCCGCTGGCCCCAATTCCAATTTTCAAAACAATACACAGGTAAAGGGAGAGAAGTCATCCATCCCTTTGCTCTCTAGTTATTCCCAATGTCATATTTTTCTCCTAGTGATGAAACACCATCTACAGAGTCAGTCAAACTGCACATCTCAGCGGTGGATGCAGTTGTTTAAAATGCAATCCACCGACCCCAATTCCAATTTTCAAAACAATATACAGGTAAAGGGAGAGGAATCATTCTTCCCTTTGCTCTCTAATTATTCCCAATGTCATATTTTTCTCCTAGTCAGCTTCTCTTTCAGTATTGGAGCCCAGCTGTGAGAACAATAAAATCAATAGAGAGGCAGGTAAGAAGTCATCTATGTACTGTAGTTTCTATGGACGGAAAAGAAAAGTCATCTACGTACATGAAGGTTTTAGCAACTTTTGATCCTTCAGTGTTTAAACATATAAAATGTTTAAAATGTGTGTGAAACAAAATTTAAATGTATATGCATATGAATATGCAACCAACATGAATCTATCAATTGTGACAGACAGATAATCAGGATTCGGGACATTTTTGTTTTAAAAATAATGTCAAATGAGGAGGAGGAGGGAAAAAAATAAAGGCAGAAAAGAAAATTATAGGAAGAGGAGAAGGATAAAAGGAAGTCAAAATATTCTAGCAGCAAGGGAGGGAAAAACCTACTGAAATATGGCATGGATGTGATGTATTTCCAGGTTTCTTACAGGAGTGGTGGCGGCTTTCTAGTCTGGAAGATCCTGGATGTTTGAGAAAGAAAAGTTTTCAGAGGTATAACAGTCAGTCATTTTATCTATAGGTCCATCAACAATCAGTAAAATCAGTTTGTCTGAAGGCACACATGGATACCCTGGCAGGCAAGAATTATTATAATAAATACTAATAATATTCTTAATGTACAAACTGGTTTGTGTTATGTTCCCTTTATTCAAGTTATACACTATGCTTTTCGTTTGAGTGTTTGAGTAAATGAAACACTCAAATGAAAAGCATAGTGTGTAACTTGAATAAAGTTATACTTTTGTGCCTATCTTCTATTCTGAATGATAAAATGGTACTGCTGACACATTTCATCTGGATTAGATCCAGGATTTTTCTTTAAAACATATCTTTACAATTACAAGCCACCTCGAGAAGTTTTTAAAAGGCAGAAACGGGGGGCAGGAATTTCTAAAACGAGTAAATGTAGTAAATGTTAGAGCGAAGGCAACCACCACAATTTTCATCCTCACACAACCCTTTGAAACACAGTAGACAGAGAAATGAGAGGAGTTATAACTAAAGCTCAGAGGTGGAACATAGGCTTCAACCCCTAAGTCTGCAGGTAGGGCTGACTGAATCCTTGCCTCCAATTCATTTCAGCACCTTGGACAGCTTCTGCAACACTGATTTAAACCCAGAATAGGTGTGTTGCCTCCTGTGAAATCAAAGCGACAAGCATTCATTGAATCTGACTTTAGCACAAGGCAAGCTTCCTTTCTTCCTAGAGGGCCAAACCAAGATCACCTAGCTCCTAAATTTTTACTCTGATTGGCCACCTTAGGTCTATATTTGTCATTGACAAATACAGACCTAAGGTGGTCAACCATTAACTTAAGCAGCATATGTGGTTCTCCAGTTCCCCACTTTGTGCTTCACAACCACCCTGTGAGGTAGGTTGCACTGAGAATGAGTGATTGACACCCAAAAGACACCCAGTAAGTTTGATGGTTAATTGGGAGTTTTCAAACTGGGTTTTTGTTCATTCCCAGCACAGCACTGCAACCACTGTGTGTTATGTGCTGTTAAGCCAGAACTGTCTTTTAATAGCCTTAGCAGGGTTTCTAGAGTATGTGAGATATTTAAGGAGTGGTTTTACCAATGCTAGTGGTGCTGTGGATAGAGCAATGGACTAGGATTCTGGAGACCAGGACTTGAATTCCCGCCTGGCCATGGGAACAGCTAAGCCAGATACCAGGAGGCTGGGATTTAGATTCCACTCTGAGTCCCTGATGGGCTGAACTCAGCAATCCATAGAGTTCCTTCCACCTCTGCAGTTCTAAATTATTATTATTAAACTCACTGGAGCAGTGGAACTATTAAAACCACTCCTTAATTTCTCACTTACCTGGAAAGCCCTATTAGGGTTCCTATAAGTTGGTTCCAACTTAATTAACTTCATTTACCAATGCTACCCTCCAGTGAGTGTCCATGAGCAGAGATGGATTCGAATCCAAGTCTCCGGAGTAGCAGTCCACCACTCTATATACTACACCACACTGCCACTTGAGCTGTCTTGAATTCTCTTGTAAAATTGAAGCCTGGAAAAATAAATAGTTTGCCTCTCTCTTATGTTTGCCGTAAGAAAAATAAAATGAAATGCTATGAATAAAAAAGTAGAGGCAATCAGCAAAACAATATAATTGAGAGAACAAGCTTGGCGTTCCAGAGCTTTGCTTCCCCCCCACCTGCCCTCATGGGAATAGAAACACTGTAGATTAATTGCTTGCGTGGACCATTAAAACCCCGACTTGAGGATTACCTGAAGCCGAGAGGTTGTTCTGATGAGAGACCAGCTCCCTTTGCCTGCTGCCGCTGGAGCTGTTGCAGCAGATGCTACTGTGGGCTTTCACCGCGTGTCCCCCCAGGGATTGCTGATGTGCGCTACAAAGAAAAAAAATAATAAATGTTATTTTTTTAAAACAAAATTTAATAGAATAAAATGCCAAATCCAGAAGCAGAGAATACTCAAGTACTCCCACTGCACTTTCTACTTTGGGGTCCTAAAGTCATTTAATTTAAAAAAAACCCACACCCCAAAGTCACAGCACCCCAGGGAAGGCCATTCCGATGGTCTCTCCATATGGGAAAACTCAACACACCCAGAATGGCTAGGAAAGAAGACAAGCTTATTTAAAGACCGAAGTCTTTAGTAGTCAACAACCCTAGAGATGCTGAAACGACTAGGGGATGTTAATTAAACGTAGAGCACAACCCAATACAATCACATGGCATGTTGAGTAAATGGAAGACTCTTGCCCCCTGGTAATGGTTAGTTAATGCCTCTGCCCCCTACCCAGAAGTGAGCAACGAAGAGACACAGGTTATGCGTCTCTGTTGCAGAGACAAAATCAACAGGAACAGCCACCAAGGATCTTACCTGGGATGATGCCTCTGATGGCCCAGACAATCTCTGGCATAAAATTTTGAGGTTGTTCTTTGAGGAACCTGAAAGATTTAAGCAGATGCTTCTGTTCACGGTCCTTGAGGCATACACATGAAAAAGGAGCTAGCAGCCTGCTGATGGCTGTGCTGGTTAAGGGAGTCTGAGAATTGTAGTTCCCCCCCTCCCCAGAAAAAGCAATCTTACCAAACTCAGGACTTTTCCCCCTATGCAATATAAGCCAACCGACCCTGCAAAGAGCTAAGATATACAAGGACTCTTTAAACGATAGTCCATTATAGGCATTCATTTTGCTGGTGCTTTGAAAATAACTGCTACTGTTTTAGCCTATTAGGTTCACAAAACCAGCTGATCCATGGATGGAGCTAGAATAGTTGCACGTTGCATGGTTTACCAGATGTAAGCCTTAAAGCAAAAAAAACCCCGCTGCTTATAAACCGCTCCATAGTGCTTAAAGCACTATGTATTTATGCAGGCTGCACATTGCTCTCCCCCCCCAATAAGCTAGGTACTCAGTTTACCAGCCTCGGAATGATGAAGGGCTGGGTCAACCTCCATCCAGCTGCCTGAGCCCAGGATTGAATTCAGGTTGTGAGCAGAGTCTTCACTGCAGAACTGCATTTTAACCTCTGTGCCACAAGGCTTCTTACTGGGCCAATGGGGCTTACAAACAGGTGTATATAAGAATGCAGCCTAACAGCGCCATCCCAAACACGTTTACAAAGAAGTAGGATGCTCTGAACATGACGGGACCGACTCCCAAGTAAACAGGCATAGAACTGTGCTGCAGTTCAGTCGTCAAATGAACAGCACAGATCCAGGAGCTGGCAAGCCATAAATATAAAACTTATTTGAAGTTTGTCTCTGTTCTGTTTCAATTACATCAGACAAAGAAAGACTTTGGGTATGGGTTCAAAATTTCGTGCCCTGAATGTGTGGCCATTCTCCAGCTGCTTCTTAGCCTTCCCTTTCCAAAAGACAGTATCTGCTCTGCCAGGTTGCAATGACAGGCTTGAGGACATGGAGGGTAAACCTTGAACCTCAAGTGAACAGCTTATAAAGCTTCAGAGCCACATAAATGTTTTCGCTCTTCCTCGTGGTTGGTACACGAGTAAATTACTTATACAATATAAGAGAGTCCAGACACGTTTCTTCAAAATTGAATAAGTTAGCACAAGTTTTAGAATTCTGCTTTCAGACAGGATCTGGTATACTTAGAGAAAAAGTGTTAAAAGAGCCAGCCTGGGTGGCCTTGGGCCAGCTGCACCATCCCAAGGTTGCCCCTAGAGGAAGGGAAGGGTAAGACACTTTGGAGTACTCTCTACCTGGCAAACCCTGAAAGAGGTCATCATTAGTCAGAATTGGCATGACAGCACATGATGATTATTTTACACACACATATAATAGCTGTCCCCCTCCCATATAATAGCTGAACCAGTACCTTTGGGGGCTGTTCTTCCGTCTGACAGTTCCAGAAGACATCATCTTGGGTGGGGCTTAGTGGTGTTACAGCCACATCAGACAACGAACTGCTATGATACATCTCCCGACTGGCCTGCAAGTTTTCATTCTACAAGGAAATAAAGCAAATATCAAGCTAATTTTCACCATCACATCCTCCTCCTCCACCACCACATATATGATAGTTTGTGAGTAGGGAAAAGGACAAGTCTCTGCCATTAGGAGCACATGATGCTTCCATTTTGACAGAGGAGGGGATGGTAGCAATGGCGAGGAAAGTAATGAAGAGGTGCTATTTAAATTGTGTTTCACCTGGAGACAAGGGACAAACTGGCTCAAAGTCTTGCCAGCCCTCAACAAGGTACCACTTCAGGGTGAGAGATCTTTTTCAATGTCTAAAAGTAACATTTAAGGTTACATCCCACCACATTCACAGGTATGTTTCATGCATCGCGGCTCCCAGACTCTGGAACTCCCTCCCACAGGGGGCCAGCTTGGCCCCATCTTTGCTGTCCTTCCACTCATTAGGTCAAAAACCTCACTTTTGAAGATGGGGGGAATTCAAGGAATAAAAGGAAGTATTCGCGAAGGCTTTCACGGCTGGGATCTAATGGTTGTTGTGGGTTTTTCGGGCTCTTTGGCCGTGTTATGAAGGTTGTTCTTCCTAACGTTTCGCCAGTCTCTGTGGCCGGCATCTTCAGAGGACAGCACTCTGTGCTCTGGTGCACTCCCGAGCCAACGACACCACAGCACAGAGTGTTGTCCTCTGAAGAGGCCGGCCACAGAGACTGGCGAAACGTTAGGAAGAACAACCTTCCAAACATGGCCAAAGAGCCCGAAAAACCCACAACAACCATTAGATCCCAGCCGTGAAAGCCTTCGCGAATACTTCCTTTTATTCCTTGAATTCCCCCCATCTTCAAAAGTGAGGTTTTTGACCTAATCAGTGGAAGGACAGCAAAGATGGGGCCAAGCTGGCCCCCTGTGGGAGGGAGTTCCAGAGTCTGGGAGCCGCGATTGTTCTGGAGAGACATCCCATTTATAGGGCCAACATTTTCTCCTTTTTTGTGTGAGAGTCAAGAGAGTTTAAACATTTATTTTGTGCAAAAATGTATTTTGCACCAAACATTCTAATTTATGCAAAAACATTCTCTGTTTCATTTTATGCATCTGATGTGCATTTATCTTCTAGGTTTGTATTTTGTGCCAAATAGATATGGGTTTTTTGCAAAAAATAAATAAAATAGAATTCAATAACTTTTTTTTTACTAATGCTTCAGCTGATGAATGATATTTCCACTCTCACAGATAGTGGAAAAATATCTCACGATAGTTGGAAGTAGTTTTGGTGGGGGTTTTTCCAAGTGTCAACAGTTTGCTTTTTCATTGAGGACAAGAAAATCAGCAAAAATACATTAGTGTGACCCAGAATACATCTTTCAAATCATATCTTTGATCTGGGTGATCCAAAGGAGGCTTAAGCTTTCAACTTCAGACCTCTTGCACATATTATATACATATAGATGAGGCAATTTCAGTAGGCATAATTTTTCACACCACTAAAAATCTCTTTTTAAGAACTACTTCTAAAAAGCTGCAACGTACACAGCCATTAAAAGCTAAGGTTTGTCTTTTGACAAAGCCCACATAATATTTTTGAGGAACAAAATTTAAGGTTTCTTCTCTCAAATATAGCAACACAGAGGCAGCAGGAGCACAACATAAAATAGAAACTTGGAAAAACAAAGAAAGAAGCTGTTTCACTATCACATTTCCTGTTGAGAACCGCTTACAGGAATCTGTCAGAAAACATCTCTTTTCTCCTGAAGAAACTTAGTACACAGTTATGCTATTGAAATAAATTGAGGTTTTGAATTTGGTTTAAAGTTGTGTGGTAGTCATGTGATTTTTGGCTTGGTGTGTGTTTCCTCTTTGGAAAACTTTAAATCCATTCTTAAACTGTGTTGTCTATTGGTCAAAGGGGGGGGGAGTACATGGGCTTTTAGAATCATTGCATTTGAGGCTTTGTCCTGTGTCCACCTACAGAATAAATCATGTGAAAGGCAGGACTGGATGAATCCCAACCTGGAATCAAGATTGCTGGAAGAAATATCAACAACCGCCGATATGCTGATAATACCACTCTGATGGCAGAAAGTGAGAATTAAAGAACCTCTTAATGAGGGTGAAAGAGGAGAGCGCAAAAATGGTCTGAAGCTTAACATAAAAAAAAGAAGATCGTGGCCACTGGTCCCATCAACTCCTGGCAAATAGAAGGGGAAGATATGGAGGCAGTGACAGATTTTACTTTCTTGGGATCCATGATCACTGCAGATGGTGACAGCAGCCACGAAATTAAAAGACCCCTTCTTCTTGGGAGGAAAGCGATGACAAACCTAGACAGCATCTTAAAAAGCAGAGACATCACCTTGCCGACAAAGGTCCTCATAGTCAAAGCGATGGTTTTTCCAGTAGCGATGTATGGAAGTGAGAGCTGGACCATAAAGAAGGCTGACCGCTGAAGAATTCATGCTTTTGAATTGTGTTGTTGGTGGAGACTCTTGAGAGTCCCCTGGACTGCAAGGAGAACAAACCTGTCCATTTTGAAGGAAATCAACCATGAGTGCTCATTGGAAGGACAGATCCTGAAGCTGAGGCTCCAATAGTTTGGCCATCTCATGAGAAGAGAAGACTCCCTGGAAAAGACCCTGATTTTGGGAAAGTGTGAGGGCAAGAGGCAAAGGGGACGACAGAGGGCGAGATGGCTGGACAGGGTCACCGAAGCGACCAACATGAGTTTGACCCAACTCTGGGAGGCAGATGGAAGACAGGAGGGCCTGGCATGCTCTGGTCCATGGGGTCATGAAGAGTCAGACACGACTTAACAACTAAACAATAACTTGTGTCCACCTGCCCTCACATTGGCTGCCTCTCACAGCCATTAGCAACTACTACTGTAGCAATATCTTTAATTATTATTACTTTTTATTTCTTGCAATTTGACATAGCACTAATGCAGAATCACAGATAGGGGGAATAAGGAGGGGCACAGAGAGTGAAGGGGCTGAAAGGTACAGAGGACATTGACTAAGCTTGTGAAAGAGGAACCCACATAGGGAGAGGAGGGGGCCTGAAACTGACCAGAGTCATTTCGACTAGATCCCTTTGCAAACGGGGGAAACAAGGAGCTGGGGCTGAAACTGACCATAGACATGGAGGAGGCTTATGAAGGGATGCACACAAGGGGTGGAGAAGGAGCACAGGAGGTACTGTATACCAGTGAGTGGCAAACCCAACAGATAGAATTTACACTGATAGAGGCATTCCCATATGCCAAAATGATTGAAAATAAATCAATTTCCACAAGCAATTTAAAACGGACAACCCTCTTGCAGCTGAGCAAAATGCCTCGCTTTCTAACAAAAAGACCTACATTTTCTAGGCAAAAACATACATGCTTCCACATGTGTCATGTAGTCATCTTAAAAAATTAATTTAAAACATGCAAAACCCCAATTCAAATATATATTTTTAATCACATGTAACCACACTCTAAATAATATAGTGCATCCTGCACCCCTGATTTCTTTACCTATAAACATTGCAGAAGATTTCAATCAACTATTTCATGCAAATTAGTGCACTTTTGGGAGCGGGGGATGATGTGCAACTGACCAGTTCCCTCAAGGTTCAAAAATGGGAAACAACAACGTCCATAACTACCACTTCCAGAATACCCCTGACCATTTTGGCTGTGGGAGTTGTAAGCCAAAGATTACTCAAATTCTCATATGATCTGTGGATATGCACCAGGCTACCCCCCTCCCTCTTGATCTCCAGGAAACGTGTAAAATGTGAGCTTTTAAAGGTAATCTTTAGAAACATCCTGCTCCTATGATTTTTCTCACTCTCCCCTGTGATTGTATTTCTCTGCCACTGCCTTTGGAGAATTCTTTCTTTCTTTTTTCCTTCTCATTTTTTATGATTTGGATGTTTTCTGTTGGTGGATGGGTACGTGGGTGGTTTGTGTGTTTATTTGTTGTTAGCTTCACGGAGTAGTGGCCTGCCACTAGATGAACAAACAAATGCCCTTCAGATTGCAACTCTCTTCGCTAGCACCCGTGACATCTCTCTGTCATTTCCGGCTTGCCACTAAAGCTGTGAGTCTGAATCATGGGGTTGATCCCATTCCCATATCCTGATACGGCCCTGACAGGGATATGAGAGGAGCGCCTGCAGCGATACCATCTTGTTCTGCTATTCTGTCAGATCTCTCACAGGCTGCTGAGAAGGAATGCAGCTCTCAGAAGAAGCGTTCTTTATTCATTAGCAGACGTTTCTCTCCTCCGAGTCAGAACTGATTTAGGGTCACAACATGCGGAGGACTGCTGCTTTCAAGCCAACTCTTTCAAATGCAAAATAATAATAATATAATATACAGTGTATATATATATATAAGAGCCCCCTTCATCTCCCATAGTTCTTAAGGGCACCCTGGCAGATTTGGTGAGAGTAAGAAGAGAGCAAATGAACAGTGAGGCCCCTTCAAAACACAAAAACAAAAATGAACGAAAAGAAAGAAAAAATCCCTTAAAATAGTATTAGTATTAGTATTAGTATTAGTATTAGTATTAGTATTAGTATTAGTATTAGTATTAAATGTGTGTGTCCCTGTCTTGATCCCACCCATCTGTGTAGCCAAGAAAGATTCCACAGCCAATAATGCAGCTTCTCCTCACAAAACAGATCACCCTTCTCTGTTAGCGGCTAATGAAAGAGAATCTTTCCTTCGTGCCTTTCCTTTAGTCCTTCCATGTAAGAAGTCTAGGGAGACTCACTTTTGGGGAAAAAATGCTGAACATTCAAAGGGGGTGAATCTAGAATATTCCCAAGGAGTGAAACCTGTATAGTTTTCCTCCTCCTCTTCTCCATGACTTTAACCTTCTAGCCCAAGATGGGCGATCAAAGTGGCTTCTGCCTAAGCCCAGTTCCAAAGCTTACTTCAGCCTATTTTGTCCTGCAACATCTGGCTCCATCTTCTCAAGATAAACTGAGCCAGGAATCAACCAGCTCAATTAATGTAAAAACAAATAAGGTAGCTGGAGATAC